GTCGTTTGTCGTGGTGGATATTGAAAACCACTGAACATTTATTTGGATAAATGAAGTATTGATTAGCTTAGGTGTGTAATAAAGGAATTGTCAATCAAGTAGATATATTCTATTCAGAATATAGATCATATTAAACCTATCGTTGTGTTCTTGTCATTAAGCATCCCATAACAATAACTTTAATCTAATGCCCCTGTGATTTTTAGAAAATATACACAATTTCAAAGATTGTCAACATGTATGTAACATGCTTGTTTCTAATTATCAATTCGTCAAAGCAGCGGACTCGAAGTCGCACTTCTGTTGAATCATTTGGAGCCATAATCTTCAACCGAATTATTTTTTGGGATACAGCTATTGGTACCTGTAATTCGTTTGACATTTAGTAATATTTCAAAGACCAAAGTAAAACGACCACAATAGCAAGGCATTCCAGTGAGCTCCTCAATACCTTCCTGCACATAGCAATTCTACATCTAAAAACATTTGTTACTCGTCGAATGAGGGACTATATAGTACAACGATATGCCTGGCGCTCTATCAATATATTTATGACTGACATACATGTAGCTGCGTTTATCTAGCAATATATAATTAAAGGGCACCATAGGCTTCACGGATTGTATCCAAGATGGGGATCAAACCAGGACCGTAGCTCGACCCTGACTGGTAAGACTAAACATCACTGCCCTGCTCTCCTTCATTATATATACAACCTGTGAAGATCCGGGTTAGAATTAGTCTTCAGAAACCCATGCTTTTCGTAACAGGTTGATGCATGTATTCGTGTCTCAATTTCACAGATCTATGCTCATGATGTAAGTCACTGGATTGTCTGGACCAGGCTTGATTATTTACTGACCGCCGTCACATTGCTTGAATATTGTTAAGTGCGGCTTAACACAAAGAAACAAACCAACCATAGCTATGCAAGGTTAAAAAGACACGATGCGTCATGCGAGGCTCCAGATGACAGGAGATGGCATTTGTCTATACACAGGACTTATTTAATGGATGAGTTTTAAACGAAGAAGTAGATACGAAGTGGACATCGAGGGAACCAAACCGAAACACGGGTCTCATTAACCTATTCAGACAATGACCTACTTTTCAGCCAATCCGAATTTTCTCTTGTGAAAGTGAAAATAGACATCACAAACAACTATGGATACCTTTCACTATTCTTTAGATGACTGCTTCTCCAAAACTACTCCCCCAAACCAAAAGTAGACAGGATTGAGAGTGATCAATATTCACGCTGAATGAATCACAGTAAAGCCTGACCCTCAGCCGCTATTCATCATATGGCTGTGTACAACTTACCTGCCTTCATGTTCAAGTCAAAACATTGATTACACAAGAGTCTCGTTTCCTGTTGACTGGGTCCCGTCCGATTGCGCAACTTAGTACAATAACCAGTCCAGAATTTTGAGACGAATTAATTTAACTGCATACATAATTATTAATCAGTATAATTTGACACATCTAAGCACTTGTATATTGCAACACTACGCTCCCTCGAATCCTTGCAAACACGTCTGCAGCCTGCTCTGTCGTACACAGCGAGCGCTGACAAACGGACACCTGGAAATCGTGGAAATATCAAAACGAGGCTCTCCAGCTCGAAAAGTCGGTATGGACTTGATATTATATCAATCACATTCAGAACTGCACTGAATAAGCACAGAAAAGACATAATGTGTGTAACCAGTGAGCTAGATGCATTGTGAATCATTTTACGACATCATCAAACAAGGGCAGCCTGTGACGTCTTAGTTAACATCATGCTGCCTACACCTCGCCATAAAATATAGAAATACGATGTTTGTAAAGTTTACAATTAAAATGCAGTTGTAAATACCATTTTCTTATGAAAGAGGGAAATTGGATTCCAGTGTAACCATAGTTGTTTGTGATGTCTATTTTCACTTTCACGCGAGAAAATTCGGATTGGCTGAAAAGTAGGTCATTGTCTGAATAGGTTAATGAGACTCGTGTTTCGGTTTGACCCAGAACCGCTTTTAGAAACAGTCAGCCGCACAACCCAATAACAGAGTGACATATATGAACATCGAACTGGTTACCAACGTGCAACCACAAAAATTCAAACAAATCAATATGTCATGCCCAAAGACTGGATATTTTGTCGATCACTTCTTCAAAATATGCAATGTCTTTCCATAAAAATTAACTCTTCTTGTTTTAAGAAAGCAAATGTTTTCCAGTGCATTATACACGTCCTGCGCAAAATGCATTTTCAAAGTAAACCTTGAGGACATGTTGCATATATTTTTCAAAATACCATAACGACACGTTAGAAGTACTATGAAATCAGATGACATGAAATGCGTTGCATTTGAAACATATATGTCAAGATTAACATTAAAACAAGCTATAAGAAAACTGAAAGGGCACAAATCAGTGTTCATTTATTTTTAATTTAATTTACATAAAAGCGAAAACCCCTTTCGATATTCTTCTAAGGTTGATGCGTACCCATCATTGTTCTCAAACAGATCTTGCATTCCAATTAAGTACAGTCGAGCACCGTTGTGTCGAACTCTGATAACTCGATATCTCGGTTGTCTCGATATAACATCTCCATCCAAGCAAAATCCTTCATAATTTACCATTATTCAAGCTCTTTTACCTCGATACGGATGTCTCGATATTTCGGATATCTCGATATAATTTCATGGTCCCAACAAGCAAAATTACTATTTTAACTCGATATTTGCAAATTACACAAGGTGCGGCATGAATCAAAGGGATGCGGTAGTATAAACTTATTAGGGCTAATTGAGTTGAAGGTGTCACTTGTTTGTTATTTAATTAGGAAGTACTCACTGTTACGACTAAACAATACTGATAACGGATTATAGTTCGAATCAAAACATATTGAGAATCCAATGAGGGTTTTGTGTAATCACGTGACTAGCATGGTTATCACCATATCTGAGCAAAGGACCCGGCTTATCTGGGGGGATAACTAGATCAGATGTTGGTACACCTAAAAAGAGAAAGCTGACAATAAAGAAGATTGAGACGAAGAACGTGTGTATCATTCAAGATAAACACTGTAACATGATCTGTATCGTGTTCGATCGCGATCCCTCTGAGTAAACATGTATATACAAATAAATATACATGAAATCTACTTTTTGTTTTGTTTTCTTTCATAGTTATATGTGATAATATGCCCCGGTCGGATGTCTCGAAGTTCGGATAACTCGTTATATTTTCTTGGTCCCATGAATATCGAGACAACGGTGTTCGACTGTATTTCGAAAAGCAGTTATTATGTCGAAGCTAACTGCTATGCCTTGCGTATATTTATTTGTGTATCGCGCAATATACACACGTGTATGACAAACAGCCATCTAAACTATTGCTTTGCTGAGGTGAAAACATTCACATTATAACCATGCATGCAGATAGCAACCTGTCAGATCTCTTCGATCCTCTCACCTGTTTCACCTTCAGCCACCTGCACTAAAACCCAGTCACATCACCATCCGTTGTTTCCAAATTGCCGGACCAAACTTGTGGAATGAACTCCCACAACATTTGAGATCTAACCACGACCTGGACTCATTCAAATCACAGCTAAAGATTGACTACTTCTGTGAAGCATACAACAACTAACTTTCCGTCAGAGTCTCAAGCGCTGCAGAGCAGTTTATTCTGGATATAGCGCTATATATACGTTTTTCCATATAGATAGTGAGTGAGTTTAGTTTTACGCCGCACTCAGCAATATTCCAGCTATATGGCGGCGGTCTGTAAATAATCCAGTCTGGACCAGACAATCCAGTGATCAACAGCATGAGCATCGATCTGCGCAAATGGGAACCGATGACATGTGTGAACCGATCCCTTTAGTCGCCTCTTACGGCAAGCATGGGTTACTGAAGATCAATATTCTAACCCGGACCTTCACGGGTCCAAATAGATAGATGGATGGATGGATGGATGGATGGATGGATGGATAGATGAAAACATTCACATTTACATCTTCGTGAGTACTTTCTAATGCTTCTACCACATCACTAGAAGAGCTTTAGCACCTGGACTTATTGATTGACATACGGAATGCCTTCTTGTAAGTTGATCATGCAAAGGCAATCGTTTAGAGACGCTTGAGCAGTTTGTTAAATAAAACATCCCATTCTCAACCCATTAAACATTCTTGGCCTCTCCACAATATCAAAGTTGAGGACAAATTGATTGTCAGATCTTTTTCTGAACGAATTTCTAGCAAAGGATCCCAGTGACCCCCGCGGATGCACCCCAGAATATTAATTACCTGATCCTTTATGTCAAATAGAACATCAGCTCATAGTTTGTATTTAAACTAAATAAGCGGTGATATAACATTCGTCAACATAAAACACCAGTCAGTTACGCTGTTTCATGTGTCTCATATCAAGAAGACTGTAAGACAAGAGGAATAAATCCAGCCTTTGGGGTCTACATTTCAGAACTTATCGATACAGTCGAGCATGCACTTTCAATGCAGATTTGAGTGTATGACGAATCTTGCTCAATAGTATTGTGATTGGATACAACATTCCAGACTTAGCAAGGCAGTTTTCGAAATGTTTCCATGCATGTTTACCGGTGAATGTACGGGTTAGAACTGACTGACTGACTGAGTTTAGTTTTACGCCGCTTTTAGCAATATTCCAGCAATATCACGGCGGGGGGACACCAGAAATGGGCTTAACACATTGTGCCCATGTGGGGAATCGAACCCGGGCCTTCGGCGTGACGAGCCAACGCTTTAACCACTAGGCTACCCCACCGCCCCGTACGGGTTAGAATATTGATCATCAGTAACCCATGCTTGTCGTAAGAGGCACCTAATCCGGGTGGTCAGGCTCGCTGACTTGGTTGACACATGTCATCGGTTCCAAGTTGCGCAGATCGATGCTCATGCTGTTGATTACTGTGTTGTCTGGTCCAGACTCGATTATTTACAAACCGCCGCCATATAGCTAGAATATTGCCTAGTGCGCCCTAAAACTAAACTCACTCACTCACTTACTCCATTCATGTTTGTTCATGACAAAATGCGAGTAGATATGAAGAGCTGTGGTGTTAACCTTGTGTTGTTTTCAAATGGGTGTCTACGAGGCTGGAGAACTGTCCAAACTGTTATCCCGTCTCCTCTCTGAGCCATGGCCGCACCCAGGAGTGCCTGACTGCAGCTCTCCTGGCCCTTTGTGGTTGGAGTTGTAGCTGGTCTGGCTGCTGCTGGTCTGTCATTTGGATTTCTGCTTTAACAACGGCCATTGACTTGTCCATATCGCTGGTGCCAACGGCTGGAACAAAGGAAGTCATTATTGTATTTGATTTCGCACATTCAACATTGGTTAGCTGTGTCTTGGTTTTCAGATGCTTAGTGATGTCCTTTACCCGAATGTGCAATGCTAATATCTGAATGATAGTATGAACAATGTACATACTTTGTAATAACCTTGGCCCCGTTTCACAGAGCTCTCGTAGCGCTACAACTATCGCAAGTTATTGTTACAGTATAGTAAGTGCGAATGCTACAAGAAAAGTTACGCGATTTTAGGCTTACGAGAGCTTTGTGAAACGGGGCCCAGGACTTGGTTATTCCTGGGGTAGATGTATATTTGTTCTTTCTGATCGTACATGCTGGTTTCTTTTTTTTTACATTAAATCCCTGTCGAACAAACTGCAATATGGGTGTACAATCGTACTTGATCATACAAAATCGTAATAAATGCTCCAAAATACGCCAGGTATAGGCAGATCTACAACAAAACATTCTTCTTCACAACAAATACCTCTAGAATAACGTTTGATGACATGACGGTTAAAACTACAAACTGTCAGCTCCTGGACAGTAAAATCACAACGCAATGGACAGTTTGTTTGCTAAATTTGAGCAATTCCAGATAAATTGTACAGTTTGATTTTTCGACCATAACTGAAAAAATACTGACGCATTTAGCCTAAACTGTGAATGAAGGCCTAAAATAACTAGATATAAGAATTGACAGCCAAAAAAGGCGTGTCTGCTGATGAGGTTGTCATATTTCGTGGTGAAGCGATCATTTTCCGCGATCTTGTTTTGACACTCAGGAGGATGCCCTCCCTTAACGCACAATTGCAATAAATAGAGAGGGTGTCAAGCTATTATAGAAAGATCTGTAAATTTCTAGACCCCTCTGATAAATGGCAAAACCTAATTTACTTGCAAAATAATGAAAATGCGAGGGAAAACTTACCTTTACTCTTGCGCCACATGTTGGTCTTTCACTGTCCAGCGAGGAAATGGAGTTGCTTTTGCCTTTGTTTCATTCGGGCAACTCTGCATTTTGCGTGGACAGCGCTTCCACCCTGTGTTATGTTTAGTAGAATATTTTGCCTTTGTTTCATTCTAAAGTGCCGGGAAGTTTGAAAGGGGCAGTAGGATTTGACCAAGAGTGTTTTTTTACAAAACACATACATGACTCTTAAATGACCAGTTTCAGTTTAATTCATTTTCTGTTAATTACTAAGATTGAATACTCGCTCTTGCACGGCAGTTCAAAAGTTACCAGAAATCCATGCATATACGTTTTGTTTATATGTTTTCTATTGTAACCAGGAGGATTAGTCAAAATGCAGAATGGTATAAGTCGTCGTCGTAGTGCGAGATTTTGCATCATGGATTGTTGACAATTTCTGTAATTATTTAAATCAATAAGATCTATCGATTTTTCCAGCCTAATTCTTGATACGAAACTATTCCCATGCATATTCTTAGATAATTGATCTGATGTGCTGAAAAGACGAACGAATCTCGCTGTTGCTTCAAAGTAAAAAATCTGAATTTTGCTTTGTTATTAGTAGTATTTCACACAAGTTCACTTCTCCGAGCATGGCGTCCTTTTCAACATCTAGTTTATTTCGCTTCATTTCATCCTGGCATTTTATATTGCTGACATCTGTGATTCTAAACTAGGGAGTTGTGAGTCAGTGAGTCTGGTTTTACGCCGATTTTAGCAATATTCCAGCAACATCACAGTGGGGGACACCAGAAATGGGCTTCAAACATTGTGCCAATGTGGGGAATCGAACACGGGCCTTCGGCGTGACGCTTTAACGGCTAGGCTACCCCATCGCTCCAGGGTGTTATGGAGAATGACGGAATGTACGTATCGATACGTGAAGTAGTTAGCGTTCGACTATATAAGTAATCATGGTGTAAATGTAACTGCACTTATTAAACCGGCTGATAAAAACAATGTGGTTTCCGAGATTTAGTTATGAGTATAAACACAGTAAATGTCTATTATCGTGCAACGAAAAAAGAACTGTACGACGATATTGTTTCAAAGGGGTGAAGGGAAATTGAGAACGGACACAATATATGCTACCTAATATGTGAGCGACTTACAGCCTTGTCAGGCATACCCCGTTCAAACAAGCTGCTGAACATTACGGAATAAAAAAATTGAAATTCCGTATTTTTTCTCAAACAGCTGATCGTGAGAGCTATTTCTGTGTGCGAGACTTCAAAGATAAACTTCCTCTTCAAACAAACCGCTGGTCTGTTACGAAAATGTAAAACAGAAGAAGATAATGTGAATGATATCCTTACCACATGGATGATGAAGGTGTTAACAAGTCTGCCCTAGCCGAGGACACTCCTGTGTGGAAATTGAGACTATGTTTGTACATTACGCAGTTATAGATAATAATACAAACCATACATGGACTATACAGTCACTAATCTGCCACGTCAACCTTTACTGTACTTTACTTTTTCTTATTTTTTTGTTGGTTTGTTGCTTAACGCCTCACTCAGCTAAATAATATGCCAGTTATATGGCGGCAGTCTTTAAATAATCGAATCTGGACCAGACAATCCAATCATCAACATCATGAGCATCGATCATTGGGATACGATGACATGTGTCAACGAAGTCAGCGAGCCTGACCAACCGATCCCATAAGTCACCTCTTACAACAAGCATGGGTTACTGAAGACCAATTCTAACCCGGATCGTCACGGGTCAGAAGTTCTGGACTCGGATACTCAGGTAGCTTTACCCGACCTGACCAGGCACTCGTTACTCATTTACATGAATTAAATTTCTATGAAAGTTTTACCTTAAACATGTCCACATTCTTCGAATTAAAGTTTTGTTGGGAAATGCGAAAATACTTAAATTTGACTTGAGTTTCCATGGAAACGAAAGCATACTAAAAATAATGTTTTGATTAAAACGCAGAACCTCACTTACATTCAATTAAGTGATTTATTACCACGAAACCAACGTGACCCCTATCCATGTTTTAGATGATGTTGGATTAACATTTCTTCATTGAGCATATCATAACTGAATTTCATCGTCGGGGTCATCTATTTGCTTCCTTATAAATCGGAAATTCCAAGGATTATATGTTACACTCTACAAACGATATACATAATTCTCTCTTGCTTAAGGACCGAATGCTTTTTGTACAATAAACTTCTTAAGACGTCTTTTGACTTCGACTTTGACAAAGCAAAACAGGTATGAGAGACCACTAATATGCTGGGTTTTTTAAATCCAATACTCCGAGTAAATCTGTACATTTATAATAGAACACCGACGAGAGTTTTTATGATGTACCTGATTTTTTAACAAATTCGCTTTGCCTAAGACGGCAGTGGGTGATATCAGGAAATATAAAATAGTAAGGTATATTTGCGAGCCTCATGTATTTTGAATCTTATGCAACTTTAAAGTCAGGGTTGAAGAGGAGTAACATGCACGTGCCCCTCTGGATTCCATGGGGTTGAACGGACTTGACTGACGGGTGTCTCCTGTACACTCACGTGATTTAGCGGTACTGCCAATGTTTGCATGTTGTATAGACTTGAATTTTAGACCCCTCGGTATAAAGTTACAGACAGATCTGAAGAGCGAAAAGCTCTGTCTAAATTATATATGCCTAGCTCATCAACATGACAACTTACTTGTGAAATAGTTTCCTGACAGCGACGACTGACACGACAGCTACAACAACACCTCCGACAGCATGCAGCACTTTCTGTGTTGTGTCCATGTCGCTATAAGCATTCAGTCCATTACTGATGGTCTGAGTCTTCCTGTGTTGTCAATGTGCACTGCACTGTGTTAAAAACAGGCCAACCTGTATAACACCCACAATGCTAGCGGCAGTACTAGGTCATATTGAAAAGGGGAATACGCGTTGAGCGACGCAATCATTCATTAGGCTTGAGCTCGCGATATCGTTTACTGCGTGTGTAAAAATATGCATTGTCCTGCCCGATTTCCTACGATTAGGTATGTCGTTTATATAACATGCACTATACTAGAGAATTGATGCAGAATGTCCATATTTCATTTACGTTATTATGGCTAACCTAAAAATAAATTATCACTAAACTCAACTGCTTCCTGTGATAAAACAAACCTCCAGGTAAAGGTTAAAATCTGGACCTGTTCAGGCTGACATTCGTGTCTGCAGCAAATAGCAATACCCATTCCCGTTTCGAATTTAAAATCACCAATTACACATAGTTTACGAAAACAGATTATAGGGATGAGAGATGTGTTTATCTCCTCGCTATTATTATTCTTATTCTTTTCAGGGTAGTTGGTGTATATATTAGACATTGGGTAACTTTAGATGAGGTGAAATTGGGTTTAACGTCGTGCTTGAGAATACTTCGCTCATATGACGACGTGCATGCGTGTGTATGTGTATGTGCGGCTGCTTGTACTAGCCCAGACTTAAGCTGGTTTTATAGTGCTAGCCCACTGAGATACCATGCCGCAGTGAAGCATGAATACCCCACTCAGACACATTATACTGACTCCGAGCCGACCAGTCCTTGTTGTACCCATTAATGCCGAGCGCCAGGCAGGGACCAACAAGTACCATATTTTATCGTCTTTAGGTATGACGCGGTCGGGGATTGAACCCGCGACCTTCCGCTATCCGGGCGGACGCTCTAACCACTACACCACGGAGGCGGTCGGGTAACTTTAGACCTGTTTACAACATCCGAGTTAGTATTCAAGGAATTATTAATGTAGTTGTGAAGCCATGGGACAACTTTAGACCTGTTCACAACATCACCGTAAGTAACTTCTTTGAGAGGCATTTTAGAAGTTGTATAGATGAAGGAAAACCAAGTTCTATGGATAGACAACTTCTTTATTGCAATGGGTGCGATGTTTCGGTGTAGGTACTAACACCGTTATCAAGCAACTACCTACACCGAAACGTCGCACCCATTGTAATAAAGAAGTTACACCGAAACGTCGTACCCATTGCAATAAAGAAGTTGACTATCCACAGAACTTGGTTTTCCTTCATCACAGTTAGTATTCAAGGAATTATCAAGGCAGTTATTATCCCCCGCAGCGCGTTTTGCGGGGATATTAAAATGCGCTCCGTCCGTGCGTCCGTCCGTCCGTCCGTCCGTGCGTCCATGCACATTTGTCTTTTCCGGAGCAGAACTCTAAAACCGTTCACTATTTCGTCACCAAACTTGGCACATAGATTGGTCTGGTGGTGTACTGGTGCCTTTTGGTAGTTTTGGTTTTCTGAATAAAATATCTTTTCATTTCCATGCCAAAAAGTTTGACTTAGAATCTGGTGGTATTGCTTCTTTCTGGAGCAGAACTTTGAAAACCTTTCAATACTCTCCTTCCACTTTTCTATATACACACCAAAACATTTGACATAATCATAACTCGTAGACATATTCATGAAGAGTATTTTGCCATTGCGGGGGATATTGACGACTTTGTCTTCTTGTTGTATTGACATTGGGTAACATTAGACCTGTTTACAAAACCACAGAGCAGCTTTAATCATCACTCACTCATCCCTGCGAGGAAAAACAGTTCTTAACTACATATAAAAGCAAACATTTATTCAAAGATCGTAAACAAACGAAACAATTGCAGATATATGTCTGCTCATAGGTACAGTGGATATTATCCCATATTCGGGAAAATACAAACAATGATATAAAACTGATATGAAGGAAAACAAATGAACACAAACATTATGATGAGATGGAGCTTACGATAGGTTTTGTGACATGGGTTCTAGCTTCAGTGACTGGTTGATTTTAGTAAACAATCACGTTAAAGTACATGTTTGTTCTGTTAACATTTCAGTTCCATGTCAGAAAATGATCAAATCCCTACAAACATATATTTACATTGTGTACTGCTGAAACGTAGTGTTTGAACTGCTATTGCTAACTTTCCTCAAAGAAACCGATAATATAATATATCACTAAGTTTCGCCTATGTGAAAAGTATGAAATTAGAAATGATAAAGGTAAGTTCAGTTATGAAGCACGTGCTCCCATATCTAGGCAAGCAACTACGCAGTATGTACAGCACGTTGAAGACTTTCCCAGAACACCTCCTGACCTTCCCGATCATCCGTGTACTCCAAGTAGGAGTCTTGACGCATTAATTCTACAATGTTAGGGGGTAGATTCTTCACGGGGATCTTCTCCAGGATTACCACCAGCAGTGTGTTCCGTCCAGTGTAGATACTCTCCATCTTAGCCATCTCTACTTCGTACTTACACCAGTAGCTCTTCAGGAAGTTCCTTGACAGGATTATCACTGTCCTCCTGCTTGATCTGATGGCATGCAGGATGTTTGCAGCAATAGCTTCCCCCACAAGAAAGTCTCGATGGTGGATACAGAGTCGAAGTCCATGCTGTCCTTCCAATATCCGCCTCATGTCCTCCACAACAAATCCTCGGTCCTCGTCAGCATAGGAGATGAAAGCATCAAACTCAAACTGAGGTCCACCATCTTCTTCCTCCTCCGCAGCCAGATAACCCCGGTGTTTTATTCGTACCAGATAGTAAAGATACCTCAATTTCCATCTAAACCTGTACCCTATTCCTGTTGTGGACAAGCTTAGAACAAGCATCACAAGGCAGAGGACACCGATAGATAAACCTAAGTAGGAGGTACACTTTTTGTCAAGGTCAAAAACGATCTGATGGATGTCTTTCAGGAATAGTTGTCTGTTGCTGTCATCCACGCAGATCATCTTATCAAGACCAGGTAATTTAAAAGAATTATCTATCATCCATTTCAGTGAGTTCAATGTCAAGCAATTGCACTTGAGAGGGTTGTCATTAAAGTGAAGCTGAAAATCATGTCTCACCATGCATCTGACTTGATGGCGCAGAAGAGATGGAATTTCATCAAAAGCGTTTCTTGATAAATTGATGCTTGTCATATTGAAATTGATTATATCGATATTCCAGGACATCATATAATTAGAACCTAATTTTAAGAATTCAAGCCGACTGCTATTTTTGAAGATCAGCTTTGGAAGTGAACTTATTTTATTATTTGATAAGTCAAGATATTCTAGCAAAGGCATTTCACTAAATGTGTCATTCGTGAGGGTATATCCAAGATAATTGGAACTGATATCCAGATACTTCAAGGATGGAAAGTATGAAAAAACTCCTTCAGCAAGGTGTTCGCAGAAATTGTTAGAAACATGTACTTTTTCTAGGTGTGTTAATCCTATGATGGGACCCGTCCACAAGGTAAAATAATTAAACGATAAATCTATCTCCCGAATTTTGTTTTCACCAATTTGGAAACGCAGTACTTCAAAGGCCATTTTTGAATGACTTGCATTGATAAATGTAACATTTGGAGGCACATAAATTGTAACATTTCCCCTGATAGGTTTGTTATATTTATCCAGTTGAAGAAGGCGACGCGAATGAAGGCTTGTAGTGTCAAAGAAGGATATTATTGATGTATCTTGATGCGACGCATCTACCCACTTCAAATCAGTCAACACCGACAATTCCATCAAGTAAAGCCCAAACGAAAGGTTATTCTCTTTGATGGATATCTTTTTGAGAGACGTTGGAAGGTTACTCATTACATTTTTATCAATAATTTCTATTCTGTTTGCTTCAATGTACAATTCTTCTAATTTGGTATTCTTCAGATATTTGACATCTTCAACTGTCAACAGTGTACTACGCCCCATTATTTGGCCTATTCTATTTACGTTTAGTGTTCTCAGAGACGAATTCTGCAGTCCATACGTAGCTTGTCCCATTTTTGTTATTCCCAGATATCTGTTATGTGACATGAGGAGGGATGTAAGATTCTTTAACACTTCAAAAGATGATATTTCAATGTCAATCAACAGACAGTATGACACATCCAGAGTCTGTAAGTGAGGCACATCCTCAAATGTGTCATTCCTCAAGTAACGTGTGTAACATGTCCTAAACCTTCCCCCTAGTGATAGTGACTGGAGCTGCTTCAATGTGAATCCCTTTCCAAAATATAGTTCTTTCGGTCCATCAATGCGCAGATCTTGTAAGGAGATTAAGTATTTGAATGCAGGGCCCGGGTAAGCATCTCGCCCAAAGTGGTTTCCAAAATGCATATGGTGAATATCTTTCTCAATGAAGCTAGAATTTGGGCTGTCTTTCAATGATCGGCTTTCCACTCTTCGGTTTAAGCTTTCATCATAAGGGCGAGATTCAACATTTTGGTTAATGTGGAGTACTTTCAGTTTGGCCTGACGTTTGAATAACCCGTCCCGATAGACCTTTGTTGGAGATAAACGATTGTGAGTGAGATTCAAAACTTCAAGGTTTCTTAGCTCTTGAAACGCGCCGAGTTCAATGTCCTTGAGACGATTGAAAGACACATCCAATCTGGTAAGATGTGCATAACTGAGAGATCCATTTTCCAAGCGACGTATGTGGTTTACTGAAAGATTGAGATCGGTTATGTTGGATAGTAGATGTGATGGGACTTTCTCAAGTGTCCTATTCCTACAATCAGCTATGACTCTCTCTCCATCGTAATGACATTTGCACGGCACACACTGATCTTGATTCACATGTTGATGTGCATCATCACTTGTATCTTGATCTGCATTATTGCGTGTGTTTTGACTTGCACTATTACGTACACCCGGACGTTCATCGTTACTTGCATTATCAGTTGCAACGTATCTAGCATCTCGACTCGCAGCTTGCATTGATGTGATAACATTATTAGACACTCGGAGTTCCAGAAGTAGCACCAGCACCAGAAGGTTCTGAAAGTAGCATATACAAACATTATTTGCAGATAAAGACGTCAAGAAGAATGTGTTTGAAAAAAACCCGTAGAATGTTCCAGAACAATATTTTCTTTCAGATTTGCAGTATGTGCTAAAAGCTCTAACTGGACCATTTTCGGGAATTCCAAAGCGAAAGCGCAAGCCTTCTTTTGCACGTGTTGTTTACGAGTGGGATGTAGCACGATGGTAAGGCCACCTCAATTGTTAACTTAACTAACAGAGTCTATAAGTTCACAAATCAACACAAAGGTATCTCCACGGCAGCGCAAAATAGAGTGGTAGTACAAGTTCAGTGGAAATATACATGTAATATACTCTTCAAAAAGAAAAGTAACTTGACATGCTGTTTTGAAGTTTACTTACTGAATACATATAACTGATTCAAACATGACATCATTGCTCAATTACAGTAAAATCATCACTTTACAAATTTCCAAAACATTATTATCCAGAAAATGTTTGGTAAAACTACCAAGGGCTATAAAGCCACTTGGTCAGAGTAAAATGTCAGTATCTGGAGTGACCACCACGAACATCGATAGCAGCTTGGCAGGGGTGACCCATAGGAAAGGAGATGCCGAATGCTGTCTTGGGGAATGTTTTGATACTCTTACTGAAGTGCTGTGTGCAGTTCTTGTAGTATCTGAGGTGGTTGAATATGCTGGCGCAACCGTCGATCAATAGTATCCCATAGGTGTTCAATGGGGGACAAATCGGGTGATCGAGAAAGCAAAGGTAACACCTGAACATTGTTTTGCTGGAGGAAGTTCTGTCAAAACACGTGCAACGTGAGGTCGAGCATCAACCGTTGATGAAGGGAACGACGTGACGTTGATCTGGTCTTCTGGCAAAACGTCTGGCTTCCCATAGCCAATTGCGCAATGTCTGGTCGGAGATTCGGCGCTGTCCAGGGATTTGGATAGTTGTGGATGATGCGGTAGTGACGTTTGAATGACTGACTGACTGAGTTTAGTTTTACGCCGCTTTTAGCAATATTCCAGCAATATCACGACAGGGGACACCAGAAATGGGCTTAACACATTGTGCCCATGTGGGGATTCGAACCCGGGTCTTCGGCGTGACGAGCCAACGCTTTAACCACTAGGCTACCCCACCGCCCTGACGTTTGAATGAAGATGTCTCAACCAGATATAGCAATCCTGGGCGGCGGTTTTAAACTCTAGGTCGACCTGACCTTGGTCTGTCATTAACACTCCTAGTATTGTTGTATCGGGTCCATAGGTTTGAAATGGTCTCTCTGGACACGCTGAAGTGCCTTGCAACCTCTTGCTGCGATGCCCGTCCTTGTAAACGGCCTATGGCTTCTGACGGTCTTTTCATTCTCTTGTCGTCTATAGTGGCTTAAAGCAATGCATGTTGCGTACCATTGATGTGGCTTTTTAAAGCCTACAGTCATAGACTTCAGCTCAGGGTGATACACAATTTCATGATGCAAGTGCATTTCATATAGGGTGCGTTTTAGCGATTCACGACAGACGTTGGTGTAATGTAACGTTTTTGTTCAACGTTTCTTTTTCCAAACGTTTTGTCGTCGGCAAACATTCCCCCACATGTTGGGATTCAGCATGGATTAGTTTGTGCCAAATATTTTCCTAAATTCAAATTTTTCCTGTGTCAAATTTCTTTGTTTGAAGAGAATATAAGAGCAGCGATTATATCAATAAAGACATTGACGATAATATTCACTTCTCAGAAACAGTAGTCCAACTACTGGCAAATAAGGATAAGTTGGATCAGTGCAGAGAACGCATTTACGAGAAGTAGGCGGTGCACGGCAATGATCTCTCTTTTCTTGTGATGTAATTCGAAGTGCGAGGCAAAGGTTATCTCTCAACTCAACCCACAACTCTAAATATAGCACGAGACTAAATATAGCACACCACTGCCCTCACTGAATATCACATACGATGTATTACACCTGGAACATTTGTTACACTATACATGTCACTGTAAGGTATCAGTATCAAATTTATCTTTGGGGTGCGACCGTTAAGATTTATAAATCTTCAAATCGTTATGGCACAAGGCTTGTATTGCTGAAAATATTAAAAAATACAGGTATTTTATTTTTAACCAATCAGAGAGCAGCTCGTAGTTGATGCGAGCAAATTGAAAGTGAAGGACAAACATGGCGGACTCGATCACTCGAAACCGCTATTTTTCCAATAGAGTTGTGTGTGACAGGTAAAATCAATAACTGATTTCATGTAAGAGGTTAAAATACGAAAGCGGCATATCTAGCAATTACGGTTACGTTTTTTCGCCTATTGCCTGTTTCAGTTGAAATACTTAGCATTTCTCCGTGAATTCCGGCTGTGTATTCCAGAATTTCAAGAGGCAAAAAAAAGTTCGACATGTGAAATGTTTCTTAGAAATTAACTTTACTGCAATATTTTGAACATATTATTTTGAAAGAGTACTCGCTGACATCTACGTAATTACTATCAGCCATCGTGTTTTGGACAGGTCGCGGTTGTGAATCATAAGTATTTTGACAGACAGACAGACAGACAGAATGACAATTTATTTCAAGTATTCAAGGCCATGGCCCATATTACAAAACAATTTTCATAAGTGTATTCAAGCTGGTCTTGTTACAGGTATTTGGTCACCACCGGAACAAAGATGCTCTCGTAAAATAATATAGATGCTACACTAAACTATCAAATAATATTTCAGCATAAATACTGAAGATCTAATTTTAATTTGTTGTATTTCTTATCCTAAAACCTTTATATAAAATCCATGCCAAATTTAATATTACGTTTTTATCAGTACTTGACATAATTCTAACACAATTGTCCATAGAAGAGCTATTTCTTATACTATTATGAAGATATTCTCTTCTTTGGGCTTCATAGCACTGACAGATCATCAAGACTTCTACAAAAATAAATTTTTACAATGACAATATAAGCAAATCTTTCACTAGCTATTAAATTGCAATGCCTTCCCGTTTCAATAGCTAGCCTGAAATTATTACACCTGAATTTACAGATAATAGTTCTTAAATGTTGTTGAATGTCAATTGAAAGATAAGACTGAACATGTAATATTGTTTTAAATTGACAATAAGTTTGACACTTGCTCAATTGTGGAGTAATACAGTGCCATTCCTGGCTCAAGGAGTCACATAATCGCTGTTTAAAAATAGAAATAAACATTTTCACATTGCCAATATCTTGACGTATCCTCAAAATTCCGAAACCGTATTGAAAATAAATATTTCTCACATGAGAGGCCCAAGTAGTTCTACCAACATCATCGAGGTATTTACGCATTAAGTAAGACTGCTAAGGTAAACGATTGTAATCTAAATGAATTATTCTACACCAGTATTTTATTAGTTTTAACATATAGTTGTACTGAAGTGGTACTCTACCACATTCACCAAGGGCCATAACATCACATGTGTTCTTATGTAACCTTAATATTCTCTTGCAGAATCTAGTGTGTACTCTTTCAATGGTTTTAGAATACTGTGTACCCCAAACCTCAGATCCATATGAAATAATTCGAACAATCATTGTATCAAATAGCTTGAAGGCATCAGTACAAGAGACAAAACCATGCTTTCTTTGATAATTATATAATGACATAAGTGCCTTGTTAGCCTGGGCGGCTAAACAGCTTTGTGCCTTTGACCATGAAAAAGTTGGTGTGAAAACGACCCCAAGATACAGTACAACCAGAAAGTATTGAGAATTGAAAGATTTTTGAATGTTTTGAACGATGTTTTTGGTGGAAAATCCAAAAATATCCATAGAACACGTGAGCAGATGGACTGACTGACTGAGTTTAGTTTTATGCCGCTTTTAGCAATATTCCAGCAACATCACGCGGGGGGGACACCAGAAATGGGCTTCACACATTGTACCCATGTGGGGATTCGAACCCGGGTCTTCGGCGTGACGAGCCAACGCTTTAACCAGAGCAGCGAGCAGATGGAAGTAAATGTCCCTCGAGAATATCTGTGTACCGCTCACTGTTCATATTCCCTTCAAATACACAGAGGGGCGTTGCCCCTAACACAGATATGCCACTCCACACGTTAAATTTCGGACTGTACTTTGGGCGCTGATACAAACTTAAGGTTTTTCAGTTTGTTTGGTCCAGAATGTCAGTGTATTAGGAAACAGCCACACAGAACTTTCATCTGAGAAAATCACAAATTTCTATGCTGTAAGCACCAGTTCAACCTTCGCTCCTTTTGTTCAGGTTTCATGATCGGTGATGGAATTCCCCACTTTTCTGCCAACCCATTGCATGCAGCTCAGTTCTAATTGTCTACTTACAGACAGCCACAGTTCCTCTATCAATCATATCCAGCCTTCAGTTTTCTAAACTCCTTCGTTTATTTTTAGAAACAAGGATACCAAGCCGCCCTCCTGTCACCGACAGTCAATTTTCTGGGCCTACCCGCGCCTCCCTGATGCTCAATGCCATATCCATTTGCAATATTTTTCAAAACACGATAAAACAGTGGACAAAGGGATGCCTGTTCTACTTGAAATCACTTTAGCTGATCTGATGCCCTTGTTATAATACTCTAAAATCAACTTCCTCTTCTCTAAATCATCCATACTGAGGATCACTGAAAATGTCGTCTGCTAACAAGGGGGGATAACTCTTCACAAACTAATGAAAAAGGATTAACGGAGTTGTCTCTCTTGAATGAAATCAAGCACTAGATAGCTGGTCAAGGTTGTTTATACTAGAAATTCAATTAAACATATTCCTAAAATTCTCAATAATTTCTGGTCATAGTATACCTATGTTTATTAACAACATCAATTTTCTGACCTTTAAAGTACCACTTCTCGTAACCTTTTAGAGGACCAACTCTTTGGAATACAATTATATTAGTTTTCTGTATATTTATATTCATACCAGTTGCTTCACAAAACTGTTCTAAAACATTTATTTTTCTTTGTAGATTGATAACAGAATCAGAT